CTCGCAGCGACCTTCATGCCACCTCGCTCGCGTTCTTCCCACTCTCGTCGTTCTCTCTCCCTGTCTCTCTCCTGCTGTTTCATCCTCTGACTCATCGCTCTCCTCTGCCTCGTTCACGTTCTTTCTTCTGCGGCGCCGCCGCCGCCTGCCGATCCCTTGCTCTCGCTGCTTCTCTCGCTAATCGGCGGGAAAAGAAAGAAAACAGCCACCTAAGGGAGGGATGGGAGGACGACGGCACGCCACCGCCACCACACGGGGATTTTAAGGAGAGGAGTGTGGTCCTAATCCGCGGCCACCGCGAATTCTAACTCAAGAATTCTTTCCCCGAAACCAAGCGGGGTGGGGACCGCGCCCTCAGAACAAGAGCAGCTGTGCTGGCCCGTCGTCTCCGGATGGGAAACTGTGGTAGCCGCGAGGTACCTGCGGTCGCGGTCCCGGAGCGCACCGCCCTGGCGCCCTCGCGCCCAAAGACGAGCGCCAACGCCTCGACGAGGGCGCGCTCCTCCTCCTCGTCCAGCCGCGCAAGCGTTGGCAAGGTGGCCGCGGCGGGCGAGCCAGGCCGCAGCGAGGAGGAGTGGAGGGAGGTGATCCGGGCGGAGGACCTTGCCGCCTTTGGCTCCAACGAGCCCGGCTCGGCTGCTGCCGCCGCCCACTCGGCGCAGCTCGGCGTGACGATTGAGTATCTGCTCGAGTTTACGCGTGAGCACAACTGCTGGCATTTTCCGACGTGGAAGGTGGTGACGGACATCATCAAGCCGGCGACACGCGCGCGGCGGCAGCGTTTCGCCGAGCTGGATGCGGTGCAGGCCACCGGCGCCGTCGGTCGCGCGGACACGTTTGCGTCGCACTGCTGGGGAGCGCTGTGGGGCTTGCTGGTCGCGTCGCTGGCGGATCAGGCAGACGTGCGGCGGCGGGTGTGGGTGGACGTGTTCGCGGTGCGGCAGTGGGCTGGGAACGAGGCGGACCACGCCTACGACGCGGTGGTGCCGCACTGCACCTCCTTCGCCATCTGCTGCCAGGCATCATGATCAGAATGAACTACGG